GATTGACAAACGATGACATATTTATGTTTTTTTTTTTTAAAGAAAAATAAAAAAGTTCTCTTATAAAAAAAAAAAAAAAAAAAAGAATATAATTGGTGCAATAAAGACATTACTGGAAGGGTAAATGGAGTCTGTGAGTGGGAGGCTGTTGTTTGTTTGTTTGTTTAGACAAAATTAGTGCTTTGCAGAGATACTCATTATAATCTTTAATTTCCCTCAATGTGAAAAATTCAGTCTACTGTACCTAAATATCACAGTCAACAAAACAAACAAGAAACATTAAATATCCCTTGAGGCCTTTCTGTCCCCATTTCTTCATCCTTTCAGAGTTTTTTTTAAAGGCTTATCCTCTAATCATATGAACTAGAATCTCTATCAGATTCAAATCTATAGTCTAGTAATGTGATATATATTTTCTTTCTCTCTGCAGAGTTTTCAGTTCTCTTTGCTATCAAGTGATGTTATGATTGAAATTGATTTTATTCTTTGACAGTTTTGCCTCTGCTGACTTTCCAGACTTTGTGATAAGTATAATTAAGTATAAGTATAATTTTTATTGTCATTGTACTTAAATACAACGAAATTGGTTTTAACCTCACTGGTGCAAAAATCATAAGAGAATGGTAAAAAGAAAGAAAAAGAAAAAAACTAGTGTGTGCGTGGAGTTATTGTGGTTGTATTTCAAAGTCTCACAGCCCAAGGATAGAAACTATCTTTAAACCTGTTTGTTCGGCTGGCTATACTTCGATGTCTTCTGCCTGATGGTAGAAGTGCAAAGAGACACTGACCAAGGTGTGAATCATCTCTGAGTATCTTCCTTACTCTACTAAAGTAGCGAGACCTGGCGATGTCATCCAATGGTGTCAGAGGGCAACCAATGGTTTCTTGGGCCAAATTGATCACTTTCTGTAGTGCCTTCCTGTCTGCAGCTGTTAAACCAGCATACTATACTGTAATAAAATATGTTAGGACACTTTCTATGATGGACCAATAGAAAGAGGTCATCAGCCGTTGTTTCACCTGATTTTTTCGCAGGACTCTAAGGAAATGAAGTCTCTGTTGGGCCTTTCCAATCACCAGAGACAGGTTGTTTTTCCAGGTGAGGTCTTGACTAATAAGCACTCCTAAGAATTTAAAAGAGGAAACCCTCTCCACACAGCCCCCCTCGATATACAGTGGGGCAGGTTCCTCTCTGTGTTTCCGAAAAGATAGCACCATTTCCTTTATCTTACTAGTATTTAGATGTAAGTTGTTTCTTGAGCACCATGCGGATATCTTCTGGTCTTCTTCCCTGTATACTGATTTGTCCCCTCCAGTTATGAGGTCCAGCACTGTTGTGTTGTCTGCAAACTTTATTATGTTGGATGGATCAGAGGATATGCAGTCATATGTATACAGCGAGTACAGGTACAGGCTGAGGGGAGCCTGTGCTGAGTTCAGTGTGGAAGATGTAAAGGACCCAACCCTTACTGTTTGTGGACGATCTGTCGGGAGGTCTTTGATCCATTCACAAGCGAGGGGAGGGAAATTCAGGTCAGTAAACTTTTCAATGAGAATGCCTGGTAAGATGGTGTTAAAGGCCGAGCTATAGTCTATAAAAGCATTCTGACAAAATTCCTAGATTTCTCAAGGTGGCTCAGTGCAATAGTGATCTAAATTTTCCAAATGTCCTGTGATGATCATTCACTAGCACTACATATTCACAAACAAGAATACTTTGGCTACCTAGAGTGACTCAACTAGAGCTATATTGCAAGAATTTATTTAAAAATATAACTACCAATATATCTTTCTGCAACAAATTATACCCACTGCTCTCTGATGATTGGACCTTCAATTATTTTCACATCTGGTAGGATGACTTTAATGCCTGCAAGAAGCAATGGGATATAGACAGAAATTTAGGATTTCAACTGTGTCTGCTCTATGTATATCACTCAGATTTCTCTTTGCCTATGAGATTATTAATAGTTATTATCTTCCATTCTGGTCTCAAGACATTGGAAGCTCCTGTATTATGCTTGAACAATGCTTTAGATTCAGTCCCAATGCCCTGCAAGTGCTTTGGAGTATGTAATGGAGCAAACATCACATTCATCTACAGCATACTCTTTCTCATCATCGTTCTCCCTGTCTAGAGTTCAGTGGCTCCAGAAAGCCAACATGCAGCCGCCTCCTCGTTTTTATTATTTCTTAAAGGATTCTCAGCATGCTTCATTTTCATTCTGAAAAGGAGGGGGAACTGTATAAAACTAAATCAATGTTATTGATTGTGAAATCTGTACTGGAAGTTGGTTCCAACATACTTTTTGGAAGTATATTATCACCCTGGATAATATGAAACACAATCTCAAATCTTTTATTGTGCTTCAGTACAGAACCTAAAAAAGAGAAATAGTCCCAAATGAGTTGTCCGCTTTCCAGCATCATTCATTGGAAAAGACATTTGATGTGTAAAATAGTTTCAAAAATGTCTAGAGAGAACTTGCTTCATAAACAGAGCTCCTGGAGCATGTATATCTTGATGAATAGATAAGCTATCTCTTCTATTTGCTTATAATATGGAATTGACACATACATATTCATTTGTCATTTTCTTCTAACTGCCATTAACCAGCAGTGTCCTAAATAACCTTTGCTTGTTCCTAATGATTTATTGCAGGAGATTGTGATCTTAAGGGGCCGTATATTTTCCAGTAAATTTTTAAACCTGAAGATATTCTTCCATATTAACGTGATATTTTTGTACCAAAATCTGTTTGAACATCATTCACTTTAAATTCAAGTCAGCTTGAAAACTCTAAGCTATGTTATATTAGACTCTGATTTTTATGTCATTGCATAATTGAATGTTCCTTTATTTACAGAAACAAGAGCATAGTCATCAGTCAAGGAGATGAAGTACAGGTAGACCTCGACTTATAACCACAATAGAGCCCAAAATTTCTGTTATTAAGTGAGACATTTGTTAAGTGAGTTTTACTCCATTTTACAATCTTGCCACAGTTGTTAAGCAAATCACTACAGTTGTTAAAATTGTAACCTGATTGTTAAGTGAATCTATCTTCATTCACTTTGCTTGTCAAAAGATCACAAAAGTTGATCAGGTGACCTTGGGACACAGCAATGGTCATAAATATGAACCATAAGTATGAACTAATTTTGATCACATGATCATTGGGATACTGCAAAGGTTGTAATTGTGAAAAACAGTCATAAGTAACTTTTTTCATTACTGTTGTAACTTTGAACGGTCACTAAATGAACTATTGTAAATTGAGGACTATCTATATCAAAAGCCACAAGGTTTAGAAATATAAATGCTTAATTCTATATATAGTTAAAATGGGTGCAGAGTCACAAGGATTATTGTTGTAAGAATATTTTTCCAGAGATTTTGTGAACAACATGAGCCACAGGTAGCTTTCAGAAACCAAATAGGTGTCCACTGAAATGCCTATGTTACCATCTTTCCCTCTTTAATTCCTTTCTGAGACACGCAGCCAGTTTTTCCCTCCAAATATCATCAGTCCTGGTAACCTCTTCCCTAGCATTGGCTAATTCCTGATAAGTGGTGAAGGGTGCAAACTGTTTAAAGTATTTCCCCCTCTCTGATTGTCACTAAAACTGTTTCCTGTTCTAAGAGCAATGGGGAAACAATGATTTTCCTTGCAAGGGAGTCACTACTTCTCTGGTGCTAATAGCAAATAGAATTTTGATTGAGGAGAGAAACACTAACTTTGTCCCATCTTGATTTGATCTTAAAGTTTTTATCTCTTCTTTCAGGGAAACTGAGGGACATGATTAAATCCTTGTTTCAAGGTTTTATGAGAACAAGCACATATGGAATGCACAAGTGTAATGAGCAAATGAAGAAATTTATATGTCACTATAGATGAAATATGGGTTCATATGCTGATCAAAACAACTTATCAGCCACATGCTCAGCATCAAAATTTGTAGTGGTGCTGGTGTGCCTCCAGGCAAAACATTATTTTTATTAAGAAGAAGAGTGAATTCTGAGTACTGAACTGCCCTTTCAGGCTGGCTATTAGAATTATAGAAATGTGATTTGATATAATTCCCATTGCCATTAGGTAGGTGCACTGATCTAGGTTAATCACTGATTCTTAGAACAGCAAACATTGAAAGTAAAAATGAAATAGCTGTTCTATTCTCTCTACACGTTAGTCTGCAAGCAGCTTGATATGGAACTAAACCCACCAATTCTCCAATAAAAAAGACTGTATGTTTAGATCTGAATGCTTTATTAAAGGAATGGGATGGGTGAAACTGTAAAAAATAAAAATACATACAATAAGAACCCAAATACAAAATAAGCAGTCTGAGTTGCTGGTGAGCATAACAATGAACAAATAAATCCAAATCTCACCAGTGATGCTGTGTGTATGGGATGTGGATTTTTGTCCTCAGACAAAGATCTGCCATGGATTAGGCTGGATTCTTCCTGGTGTTTCTGTTTCCTTCTGAATGCTAAAAGAAATGGAGTCTGGATTCCCAGGATGCACTTGTTTTGGGATTGAGAATGTTTGTGGGTCGATGACTCTTAAAGGGATGGGTCAGCTTTCCAACAATACAGATTGATATTTGGCCCCAGCCACTAGATGCAGGAAGAGAACAACAGTATATACACAAATTATATGCTAGGGCATGACAATAGCCATTGATTCGCTTTTATTTTATTATTGCATTTGGTATGTTGCTCTTTTTCTGCAGGTAAAACCTCTTTACTTATTTAATTCTAGCAATAATTCTGTGAAGAAGGTAGGCTGAGAGAGAGTGACTGGCTAGCATTACTCGAAAATCTTTGTGATTCAAAATAGCCTTGAGCATGGTTTTTTGATCCCAGTTTGACATTCAGCATGTTGAAGTCCTTGGCACATGACTGTCTTCTAAACTATTGAAAATCTTAAATTAACCATATATATCTGATTGAAAACTTGATCTCCAATTTGAAGCATAATGTCAGGCATGCCTCCTTCAATATCCAAGAAAGAAAAACCTCAACTCCATGTTAATAGAGATGAAGTACTTTTACTAGATATGAAGTGAAAGCAGCTAAAAGGAAGGCAAGATCTGAGCCAGAAAGGCGGGAACATATACATATCAAACGTTTACCCAGCACCCTCCCCCCAATTCTTCAACCCAGTGTCCAATCTACAACTCCCTAAGGTGTCATGTGGGGTGCATCTTCAAACAGCCTCATCAAGTTGGTATGTGAGACGGTTGGCCTTGACCAAGTCCAAATATCAGGCACCAGCATGCATCGAAGATGGTGAGAACAAGACTCCTCCAGTACAATATTATTCCCTTCCCCAATACCATGCCCCCTGGTTCCTATGGCAACCGATAGTAAGCAAGTGTAGCAAAGCAGCCGTAAGCAAGTAACCAAAACAGAGGTTGATAGACTCATTCAAATCAGAACATGTTGCAACAATGAACAATAGACAACAACACTGAGGGATCAGTTGTACTTTTATCCATCTCTCATAACTGAAATTTTCTTTCATACAGATTTCATAATGGTTCTTTGTCCTTTCTACTGATTTCCAGGAAAGAGTTATTTTTCTGCTTCATACATAGTACAAAATAAAAAAAATCTGATTTTAATTTTAAGTCAGTTATATTTACCTCCAAATACTAAGGATAGGTAACCTACAGCTTCTTTGCAGTTCTCAGAGTTTCTTGAAACTATCAATAAAAGAAGATTCATTTTCCCACCCATTTCTTGTGCTGAATAAAACCTCCTCCCACTCAATAAATACAAAGCCTGAATACAAAATAAAACTGCCAATGTTTTGATTGGTTCCTGAGTAGCAATGCATTGCCTGTATTAGTTATTTAGTCTGTTAAGGCCACACTGGTTTAGTAGTTGCAAAAGGAGTAAAGTTCCCATTTTTGGTGATGACAGAAACATTCTTCCTTCTGTTAAATATTAGAGCTAGGGCAATGTTTTTTTTTTTTTTTAAACGAACTGGCCATTCGAAACAGACCCACAGTGTGGATGAAAAGATTACAGCTCATTTGCCATGGTTCCAGTCTTTCTTTAAAAGAAAAACAATTACCCAAGGGCAAACCATATGCCAGTTATCACATCTACTCCAATCAATAGCTCCCAGAACTAGAGCCATGTATATAAGTAACATTCTTAATTGAACTATATCTAGGTATGCAATCAGCTTCCTTCGCAAAATTTATTTTTGTGCCTTCAGACTTATAGCCCTTCTGGTTTTTAAAAGATTCTTTTTTTAAAAAAAGTGAATGCTATATAGATAGTATCAGTAAGTATCCATATTACTTTCAAGAATGCTTCTCTGCCCCATATAGATCCCAAATACATTCTGTAAATATTGGCGTCATAGACTACAGCTTAATCATCTGCTTAAAAAGCAGTTCATTTGTCCAGAAAAAGGACAATGGTAAGTTTAGAGGAGAATGATCAGTCTGTGTTGGCAGAAATATGCAGGGACAAAGAGCAACCTCATCAAATTGACTCCATAGGAATGGGTGGCTGGAGTCTGCTAAAGACTACCATAGCCATATGGTGGTATCTTATAAGAGCATCTGCAGTATGTTCTCAGAATTCCATGTGTTATCTGGCTCCCCAAAAGGAATTCTCTCTAATCAAAACTGTGTTATTAATCAGTCAGCTCATGGACTGACAAGTCCAGATTCTTTTCTTTGTATTATGATGATCATTTCCAAGCAGTTACTTATCATAGTACGTGCTATTTTACTCATCCAATATTTGGGTATTTGTTTTAACAAAGAGGTATTTAAGAAGTATTTTGGAACATGACAGAAACTTAAAACTGTCAAGAGTGTTATCTTAGGCTTGGCTTGTCAGTGCCATATGAGGTGATTGCAAGACACAGTACTTTGGCAAATAACCATAGCCACAGACTCAGGCAGTTCAGTACTACCCAAATCATCCGCAAACATGTGGCAAAGCAGAAATTAGATAGGTGATAAACTGAAGGTCATTTTTTCTATTTGTATAAAGCACTTCATTATTTAATGAACTTTGAGTTTGGGTTATCTCTATAGCCAGATGCAAAATTGTTTCTAATGCAAAAC